CCGTCGCTGCCCCCCCAATCTGTTGCCCCCCGAATGCGCGGCCTCCAATGTATCCCGCCCCCGCCCAGGCCGGCCGTGCCATTTGCATTCAGCCCCCTGGCAAGAGAGGGTCACGTCTTGAGCGAGTCTTCGAAGCACACGTGCCGACATCGAGAAGGCCCCGCCCGCAGGCCAGGCACAGGAGGCGGAAACATGTCTTTTGAACGCCCGACATGGGTACGGAAAACCAGGGTCGCGCACGACGCCCAACAACGGCGACACCGCCAGCGAGTCTGCTCGAAATCATCCGAACATGCTGTGAATCCTCGCGCCCACTCTTCGGAACCCATGTCGATCGCACCGATACAGACGGACCCGGGCCAGAATACCATCCTTCGAGAGCACGAGACCCTCCGCCGGCCAAAACAAGCAGAACACCCAAGGGCATCCTCCCAAGAAGGTGCAATCACATCCAACGGACATGAAGAACTTTAGGGCACCCTCCCGAGAACCGACCTTGATCGAATATCATCCTTCGAGAGCACGAGACCCTCCGCCGGCCAAAACAAGCAGAGCACCCAAGGGCATCCTCCCAAGAAGGTGCAAGAACATCCAGAGGACACGAACAACTTTAGGGCACCCTCCCGAGAACCGACCTTGATCTTCTACTCCGCCGGCCAAAACAAACAGAACACGAGACCCTCCGCCGGCCAAAACAAGCAGAACATCCAAGGGCATCCTCCCAAGAAGGTGCAAAAACATCCAGCGGACACGAAGAACTTTCGGGCACCCTCCCGAGAACCGACCTCGACCCTTATACGGCAGGTTCGTGTCGTGCCGACCCCAGCATTGGTTTTTGACACCGCAGGGATCGTTCAACCTTGAACGATCGGCCGCTGCCGCGACGTCCGATCGTTCAACATCGATCGATTCTGGGTCGCCGGCGGCATTCAACCTTGAACGTCCGCGCTGGGGTCGCCGCTGGTCGACACGACGCAAACCTACCATACCTCGGTCTGACTGTGTTGGCCGCTTCTGGGCCACCAGCGGCGTTTCCACCTGGAACGCCCGCGGCCGAGCCGCCGCCGCGTCGGCACGACGCCAACGTAGCCCACGGGACCTCCCTCCTCCTCCTCCTCCTCCTCCTCCTCCTCCTCCCTCCCTCCCTCCCTCCCTCCCTCCCTCCCTCCCTCCTCCCTCCCCTCCCTCCCCCACTCCTCCTCCCTCCCTCCCCTCCCCCCTCCCTCCCTCCTCCTCCCTCCCTCCCTCCCTCCCTACCTCCCTACCTCCCTCCTCCTCCCTACCTCCCTCCTCCTCCTCCTACCTCCCTCCTCCTCCTCCTCCTCCTCCTCTCCTCCTCTCCTCCTCCTCCTCCTCCTCCTCCATCCTCCTCCTCTCCTCCCTTCCTCCTCCTCCTCCTCCTCTCCTCCTCCTCCTCCTCCTCCTCCTCCTCCTCCTCCTCCTCCCTCTCCACCTCCTCCTCCCTCCTCCCTCCCTCCCTCCCTCCCTCCCTCCCACCCTCCCTCCTCCCTCCCCCCTCCTCCCTCCCTCCTCCCCTCTCCCTCCTCCTCCCTCCCTCCCCCTCCCTCCTCCCTCACCTCCCTCCCTCCCTCCCCCCGAGGCCTTGCACAAGGCAGGATGTGGGGTTGGCGTTGGTGTGCGCATTCCGCGCATCTGGGCTGGGCGCCAGTGGCGTGGCACAGGCACCCCTGACTTAGGCGTGTCTGCCATGCTCACCAGTGCACTCCGCGAGGTCGCGCCCCTTCCCTCAGCGGCCGAGCTAGCGGGCGACCCTGTGCTGGAAGCCTCCGCCCTGGCTGCGCTCGATGCTGCCGCGCCGCTGCGCCTCGCGGCCATCTTGCACGCCGACGACCCCGTCTTGCTTTCCTCCACCCGGGGAGGGGCTCAACGGGCACAGAGCACTCTTGCCGAGTGGGCATTTATGCACAAGGCCTCCCCGCATACCAAGCCCTCCAAGCACGCCGTCGTCGTCCATGGGTCCGCTGTGAGCAGGCTGGCGGGCAGGGCGGCCGCTCCCCTAACCCTGCCGCTCCGGGGGGGGGCGCCCGTTCCACTTGGGTTCAAAGATGCTCATCAGTGGCTCGGGCTCCTGTGGTCTGGTGACCTCGACCTCTCGAGGCTCGCGGATGTGAAAATCGGTGCCGCGTCCGCGCAGTGCGCCTCCCTCGCGGGGCAAGTGGCTGCTGGAGTCCTTCCACTTGCCGCGGCTGCTCACGTCTTCCAGGTTCAAGTCGAAGGCGCGCTGCGTTTCGGGCGGTGGCTGTGGGTGGTGGGTGAAGACGCGCCGCGCAAGCTGGAGCAGAGCTACGGGGCGTGGGCGCGCGCCCTCCTGGGTAACCCACCCTGGCGAGGGGGGGCTCTGGCCTGCTCGGAGTTGGGCTGGTCGCTTTTCGGGCCGGCCAGGGCTGTGTTGGAGGTTGCCTCCCGGCGCGCTGGTCTGTGGCAGCTTCCAGAGGAGGACCTCTACAAGCGAGTGTTTGTGCACGCCCACGTGTCAGGAGGCCGCACTTGGGCACAGCTTTCGCTGGCCCTCCTTGATGCGTGGTCCGTCCCAGATTGGCCAGCAGCAGAGGCTGCCCGCGAAGGGTTGTCTATGCGTCAGTACAAGGCGCACGTGCGGGCCCTCCTGGAGGCCCCGTGCGTGCAGGAGCTGAGGCGGCAGGCGCTTGGGCTCGTGAGGCCGCTCCCACTCCTGTCTCTTGGCCCAGTTCCTCGCCTGGACCTTGCTGCGGCTCTCAAGCAAGGGCTCCCTTTCGACGTCCTGCTGGGCCAGCGCTCGCTGAGCAGGCTCCGTGGGCGGCTGGTTGCGCTCAGCCACTCCGCTGGCTCCCTCTCTTCGGCGCGGAGGCAGGCTTGCGTCCTCTGCGGGGAGCAGGTTCTGAGTCCCACTTTTCATGTTTTGGGTAATTGCAAAAACACTGATGGATGCAGGCGCACTTTCTGGAAGGCCCGCGGCGGCGGGATCCCGTCCACCAGGGAAGCTGCGGCCGCGGCGATCTTGTCGGCAGCTCCGGCGGACGCCGGGTACAACGAGGCGGCGCTGATGGCGCTCCACGTTGAGAAGGAGGCGGATCGTTTCTGGGCGGTCGCCAGCAGAGCCCTCCCCCGCTCGCCCCTCTCCTTCCCTCTCTCCTTCCCTTTCTCCCTCCCTCCCTCCCGCCTTCCGCCCGGGAGCCCGGGTGGTCGTGTCGGGTCGGGCCGGGATGGGCCTCTCTCTTCGCCCCGTCCTCTCTCCCTTTCTCCTCCTCTCTGGGGTGGCTTTCTCTCCCCTTCCGATCTCGCCCCCTGCCGCCCTCCCTCCCCTCTGCCTGGCGCTTCTGGGGGAAGGTTCCCTGACCGCTGCTTGTTCGGGGGTCCCTTTGTCGCCACGGCTGGATTCTCCTCAGGAGCTCTGGTCCTGCCCTGGGGTGCAGCGGGAGCGGTTTTCCTCTCCCTGTGGGCCCCTGGCAGGCTGGCCGGGTCGGGCTGGGCCCCCTTCCCCCCCCCTCGGGGTGGCTCCCTCTCCCCCTTCCTGTCACCGTCCCGCACCTGCGGGGTGCGTCGACCAGGCAGTGTAGTGGGGATCGGACGAGCTCCAGGCAGGTGCTCCCTGCCTGGCCCCCCCCCATGTTGCGGGGAGTCTCTGAGTTGCCTCTGCTGCTTCGCTCTGGCTGAGGCTCAGGGCGGAGGTGTTGGCTGGAGCTGCGACGTCCTTCGGTGGCTGGGGGGGGTGTCCCTGGGTAGGGGCTGTGCCCCCCCCCCCGGCGCCTTTGCGCCGCTCCCCGGGCTCGTTTTGAGCGCTGGGGGGGGGGGTCCAGCGCCGACCCAAGCATTCCGCCCAGGCCCCCCGAGAGCTAAAGCTTTCGCCTACCCTCCCCCCGTTCCCTCCAGTGCTAGCGCTTTGTCTTCCAGAGCCGTCGCAGCAAAGTCGCTTCCGAACACTCTCCGGGTCGTGGCTCCTTGCTAAAAGGAAGCGCCGTCCGACGCCTCCGCCGCCAGCTCAAAGGGAGCACACCTACCTACCTACCTACCTACCTCCCTCCTCCTCCTCCCTCCCTCCCTCCCCCTCCTCCTCCTCCCTCCCTCCCGCCTCCCTCCCTCCCTCCCCGTCCTCGCCCGCCCTCCCCCGCCTCCTCCTCCCTTCCTCCTTCTCCTCCTTCTCCTCCCCTCGCTCCTACCTCCTTCCTCCTATTTCCTCCTCCTCCTCCCCTCGATCCGCCTCCACCTCCTCACATCCTCCTCCTCCTCTCCTCTCCTTCCTCCTCCTCCCTCCTCCTCCTCCACCTCCTCCTCCTCCTCCTCCCTCCTCCGCCTCCACGCTCCTCCTCCTCCTCCCTCCCATCCCATCCCTCGCCCTCCCATCCCTCCCTCCCTCCCCCTCCCTACCCACCCTACCCTCCACCCTCCTCCCTCCCCCTCCCTCCCCCCTCCCTCACCCTCCCTCCCCTCCTCCTCCTCCCTTCACCACCTCCCATCCCTCCTCCCTCCCTCCCTCCCACCCTCCCTCCCCTCCCTCCCTCCCATCCCTCCCTCCACCTCTCCTCCCTACCCCCTACCTACCACTCCCTCATCCTCCATCCCTACTCCTTCCTCCTCCTTCTCCTCCTCCTCCTCCTCCTCCTTACTCCTCCTCCTCCTCACTCCTCCTCCCTCCTGATCGCCTCCTCCCTACCTCCTCCCTCCCGTGACCCCCCCCCTCCATCCTCCCCCCTCCCTCCCTCCCGCCACCTCCTCCTCCTCCTCCTCCTTCTCCTCACTCCTCCCTCCCTCCCTCCCTCCCCCTCCCTCCCTCCGCCTCCTCCCTCCCCCTCGCTCCTCCTCCTGCAATCACCCTCCATCCCCTCCTCCTCCTCCACCTCCTTCTCCTACTCCTCCTCCTCCTCTCCTCCTCCTCCTCCTCTCCTCCTCCTCCTCCTCTCCTCCTCCTCCTCCTCCTCCTCCTCCTCCTCCTCCTCCTCCTCCTCGGTCCGACTGCACGCCCATGCTCAGAGCCCGCTCGCTTCGGCACCGCCCCGGGCCACCCCCGGCCGCGCGCCGGCCCACTGCGCGCCGCGCTCTGCCTCGGGCCAGGCGTCCGCCGGGGGGGTCCCTGCGGGGGGGGGGCGGACGGG